TTTTTTTTTTTAATACAAGTGATTGGGGAAAGGGATTTTACACAAATATTCATCAGGTGTCAGAGGGTTTTGAACCTCTACCCACATGGATGGAAATGGAAGAGCTCAAGCTCAACCGAGCTATACCCCATTGACAACCAAATGGGTAAGTTAGGAATTAGAAAGATAGAGAAAGAGAAACGTATAATTTATGATATTTTATATAAAAATCATTAAGCGGATTATAGTAATTTTGCAAATGAATATAAATGTCAATTTATTTGAAGAAAATAAGATATAAATTGGGTGCACCCTTCACCATTTGTTTTGGTCTCAATTTAGGAACGGATTGACCATTTAGGTACGGATTGACCGTAGCAGCAGTTGGGTTTGGGCTTTTGTTTTCAATATGTCATCAAGTTCTGTCAAACCCGACCCTTTAACTCACTACCCGGTAAACCCTAACATCTCTCATTCTCTCCTCCGTCTCGCTCTTTACAACAGACTGAATTCGACGAGAGCTCCATCGCATCCCATCATCCCTCTTCATTTTAAGGTTCAAATCTCTCTCTTTCTCTCTCTCTCTGTTAGAGATTTCGTTAACTTAATTAGCAAATTATGCTTTGTTGTTTTTGTTTGATTCAGCTCACTATCTTGTCTGCGATGTCTGTGTCTCGTTTTGAAAGCTTAAACTTTTTGTTGGTTATTTCTGCGATTTAAGGGAATTCATGAACTGGGGTTTTTTTTTTCAGAGAGGCATTCTGATTAGCTAGAGGTTTTGTATAAATTATTAAATTGCGTGGGGGGTTTTAAGCGTTTCAGCTCTGAAAATGTTTCAGAAATTTGTTTACTTGGATTTGTTTTTGGATTTTGGGTTATTGTCAGCTTCAAGCGTCAAATTTGTTCTCATATTATTACATGCAAGTAGAAACTTTGTTGTTTGGTGTAGTTGCTTATTGGTTAATGGAATACAATCGTGATTCGTGTATGTGGTATTGAGAAAATCTAACTCGGGTGGTTCTTACATTGATAATTTTGTCAAAAAGTTTTATTATTTGGTCTGTGAATTTCATCAGTACCCATATGACTCGTTCCCATGAAGTAACGGTAATCGGTATTTGCTTTTCAAAAATCTCTTTCACAGAGTTCCAATTGGGATATTGTGGGTTGTGTTTCATGAGGAACTTGGACTGTAGTTTGTTGAAATTGGTATTTAGCCTTTTCTGAAACTCATTTTTTGATCACAGTCTGTTGTTGAAACTCCCTCATTTAATTATTAACACTAATGTTGTAGGGATAAAATCATGGCTATGAGTCATGTCAAAACATTTAGAAGCATTATCAATACCAGCGAAGCAGTTGGGATAGTGTCACGACGAACATTTGCTATTGGGGGCGGTAAAGCAAAGAAGGGTTCAAAAGGTGCTGCTCAAGGCGATGCACCAAAAGCATCAAATCTGGACAAAGAAGTTAAGTCTACTACAGTTGTCGGAGCAAATATTCTCAAAGACGGAACAGATCCTAAGATCTTGCCAGATGCTGAGTACCCTGATTGGTTGTGGCGTCTACTTGATAAACGCCCAGCATTGAGTGAATTAAGTAGGAAGAACATTGAAACTCTCCCTTACGAAGATCTCAAACGCTTTGTTAAGCTGGATAACCGAGCAAGGATTAAGGACAACAACTCTCTTAAGGCCAAGAACTAGTTAGATATTTTTTGGTTTGCAAAGAAATGAACTGAAAATCATCATCATCAAAAAGGCTGCTTCTGGGTTCGTGTATGATTCCAGGGCAGGTTAGATGTACTTTTCTGTGGAAATGCTCTTTTGTATGTTTTGAGTAATCTCAGTCTTGGAATTAACTTTTATTGATTGCCTCTTCACTGAACAAATTGGGAAAAAGTATTGAGGCTCTGTTCTTATTCTAGAAACGTTAAGGACTGGTCTTGCGAAATTTCATTAGTAAAAAATCCCTTCAACTATAAAGAGTTTGCTTAGGTCTCCTATATGAGCTGGAAATTCATGTTGCATGCTTTTAGAGCTAACTTAGAGATGGTAGATTTTACTTACTACAAGATTAAAAGTGATTTTTCTGAAGCAGATGCTGCCGATGTAAAATGTTATTCTGCCAGTGTTTGGAGATTGGAGTTTTATGGAAAATGATTCCAAAACTGGCTTAGGCTAGTATTTTTTGCTGCAACTTATGTTTCCTAAAAACTTACATCTGAGGTATTACCATTGTTTGCTAGAAGTTTGTCAGCAGATGTTTCTTTTCTCCGGCAGAAGAAATTGCTCCAGGTTCACTGCTCACGACATGCTGGGTTCTTCGGTCCAGATTTAAAATGGGATCAGTTCCCCCTAAGTATAGAATTAGCCGATTTTTTTTAGCAGATTTTTTAAATACAAAGTTACCAACTAATGTGGCACTTTATTGTTTGTAAGTAATAATATACAAATGAAATACTGCTCACCAGAAAAATGTACAAATGAAATAGTGCAACGTTGAAATTTAAAAGCAAATTATATTATTGATGGGCTGATTGGGTTACATTGGTTTGGGTCCAACTAGGTTGCACCATTCTCGCTTGTCCTTTTTGTCCCTATTGCCCAACTGAATTTCATTAATTTTTCCTTTAGTGACCATTTGTTAGACCCTTTCAACTTAAATCCACCTACTTTTCTACTTCTCAATATAAGCCCAAAATTTGAATTAAATGCCATCAAGATTACAAGTTGTCCATGTATTATAAGTTATTTACAGTCCATGCTATAATAGTGAATTTCCATTTTCTTTTCCCCTTTAAAATTCTTTATTTTTAGTCTTAGTTTTAGCTATTCTTTAATTCCTAATTTCCTGGGAATTCAATTTGATCAATATGTTTTTGTCAATTTTGAGACTTGTTTTACCTACATTCATACTAATTCTATATTTTGCGCACACACTAATTCTACATGTAATAATGTACCTAATATACAATGTACCCTTCATAAGAGGTACACTAAAAAAATTTAGGTATATTATTGTCCATAAAAATAATAAATAATATTTTTTCTTTTTTATTTATAAGATAATAAGTAATATTTCGTTCATAAAAATTAAATAATCGATACATTATATTTTCGAAATCATTAGTATGCACACTATTATTTATAAAAGGTAAGTAAATCACATATAATTCATAAAATACAAAATAACAGAAATATTGTTTTAATTAAATCCACCTATTAAGTACTTTAAATCTGAAATTTAATGTCGAAATTTTAAAAAAAAACTTTCCAAATTCATTCCTACATCAATTACAACCCGATTTCAACCCGATTTCATGGAGAGACATGTATATAATTTTTCCAAATTCAACGTATATCAACCAAAATTTTAAAAAAAATTTCCATATTGATTTCAACATTAATATTCAAAATACAATAATGGTTAATTGGGGGTATTTTAGGGATGTGACAAATATTAAATCTTCCACTTCCACACAAGCAAACACCATATTTCTGCGTTTCGCAGTGGTTGAGTGATTGGGCAGGTCCTTCAAACCCCGTCCAGTTACCAGACCGGCCTCGCAAAAGCTCCCACAAAAAATAGCCTACGCCTAGTTCCTCTCACTCTCTCCTCTGCAGGTTTTGCATTATCGAACCGACCCTCGAATTAGGGTAATTAGTTTATTTTCCCTCCACTATGTTATTTTGAATCATAAATCTTGTTTATTTTCATTTTAAATTTATTCATATATTAGTTATGCAGCTTTTTATGGGTTGAAGTTTCTGCAGTTTATGATGTAAATGATTTTGGGTTCATTGTTGAATAGTTCTATTGATTATTTTCTAAATGCATTGTAAAATTCAAGCTGCTTTTGCCTTTGTGATTGAATGAAATAATTTCTAGCTCCAGCTATTGTTTTTCTTTTCAGCTAAAAAACTTGGCTTCGTTGGCATAAGTAATTATTAAAGTTTTTTTTTTCTTTTGGTGATGAATATCACCAAAGAAAGATATAGTAGTTGTTCTTACTCTTACCCTTTTTTCCCCTTAAATTAAAGTGAAAAGTACAACAGTGAAGTAACAGTCCACCCAATGTACAATCTCAGAACTAATGCAGGAAATACATAAGACACAGGCACAAATTAAAATCTTCAGAAATGACAGCTCCCCATGAATAAACAGGAAATGTAATGTATATCTCTAAACTCCATAGAAGATGCCCACCTTGAAGCCGAAAAGGGCAGAGAGGTTAGAATGTTTGATGAGGGATTTTGTGTGGGAAGGAAGAAAGACTGCTTGATGAACCGGGAGCTGGTATCTCGAACAAGGGAGAAAGGGATTGGGAGATTGGCGATTTGGTCCAAATAAAAAGGGTTGCTGTTATTAAGAGTAACTATGGCTTACATAATATTAGTTAGGATGCTAAGCAGGTGGTTAGGGGTTGTAGTAGGTGGAATTGGAGTATTTCTGAAGTAATGGAAACCTTTTTTTAGCTGCTGTGAGCGGGGACTGGGTAAAGGTGAGATTGCAGAAGTATTGTTGGGATTGTGGTTTTCAAAGAAACTTGAATGAGGAGGAGAGAAGGGAAAAGCGTGGTTGTAAGAAAAACTATACTGTTTTGGAAAAACAATGTAAATGTGAGGCAGCTGCACTCTTTACTTTGTGTTTTGTTATGTATGTTCGTAATAGTAACTATTAATGTAGTTATTAAAGGTTATATCTTGTTGAAATATTTGATATGCTACTATGTGTCAGTAAGAATATGTTGAGACATTTATTCTAATTGTTATCCAGATGGTTGTTGCTGACTTATTTACTGTTTGTTTGTTTTGTTCTTTTTTACATGTAGACAGATGGAGAGTGCTAGAATAGCAAGGTGTAGTTATCGTTCATTAACTGTTGTCATTGCATTGTCTGAAAATAGTAAATATTTGGATATTTGTAATGAGATATGCTTAAGGTTTAAGGAACTGAAAGTGGGGAGCTTTGACCTGACGTATTCTCTTCCTGACCACCCTAATTGTTTGCTGCAATCTGATATGGATTTGCATATGATGTTGATGTGTTTAACAATGTTGAAGAGTAGTTTTGTTGATATAATGGTGAAGGATCTTGTGAGTTCAAATAATGATAATGGTGATCAAAAGTGTGAAGAGTCTGATCATACAGCGTCTAATCATGCAATGTCTAATCGTGTAGTCTCAAATCGTACAGCACCTTTATCATGCACATTAGAAAGTCATAGTGCCATTGATGAGAATGACCGTTTTGGGGACTCCAGGTTGGATGGAGGCAATGCCTATTTGTCTCAGGACTGGAAGGAATATATTAGTCATGATGGTCAGAGATTTGAGGGGGGTGTAACTGAATTTCGTAACAAGTTGTGTAAGTATGCTGCTCATATGAGATTTCGTATTGCTTATGTAAAGAATGAGAAAGAACGTGTCCTTGCTGAATGTTTTAAGAAGATTTCAGATGGTTGTAATTGGCGTATATATGCTTCTTTATGTCGAGGGAATGGTTTTTTCTACATAAGGAGTCTGAATAATGTTCACACATGCACGCCTGTTGTCGATGAACAGAAAAGTAAGATGATGAGTTCAAAGGTTGTTTCTTCTGTTCTCGTGGATCAAATCCGTGAGAAACCAACAATGAAACCAGCAGATATTGTCAAGGATTTTAAGCAAAAATATGGTCTTGATATCTCTTACCATAGTGCATGGCACGGGAAAGAATTGGCTAAGAGTGAGGTTCATGGTAATGAATCCTTGTCTTATAATCAGTTAGTTCAGTATAGAGATGCTTTAATGTCAACTAATCCAGGGTCACATTGTGTCTTGGAGTGTGATCCAACAACTTCTCGCTTTCAAAGATTGTTTATTTGCTATGGTGCTTGCATTGAGGGATTTAGATGGTGCAGACCTTTGCTGTTCATAGATGCAACCTATTTTAAAAGTAAGTATAAGGGGCAGCTAATTGGTGCTACCGGGAGGGATGGAAATCAAGGTACAATTAGTTACGTTTTATTACTATGATGAGTGATGAGTCACTGTAAATGGATTTTTAGAATAGAAAATGAAACTCTCATAGGTAGTTATCTGCTTGATAGTTACATCTAGATGTTGTATATATTGTGATTCTTGATAAGATAAATCTATATTTTGCTTAAATATTGTATTACTTATCCATTGCCTTTTTATGTTATTGGTTTTTAGGATTTTTCCCATTTGCTTTTGCTATCGTGGACTCAGAAAACGAGGAAAACTGGAGGTGGTTTTTTGAAAATTTAGCTAAAGTTTTGACTCCACAAGGTAGGACGATTACTTTTGTATCTAATCATAACAGAGGTGCGACCGAAGATGTTTCAAACATATTTCCAATATCCCATCATGCATTTTGTTTGAATGATATGAAACAGAACCTCTCATCTAAATATCCGGCTAATTTTGGTAAATTTTTTCGGGATCGAATTGTTGAGCTTTTTACGAAATGCGTATATGCTCCAACTGAAGCTGCTTTTGAGTTTAATATGAAAAATTTAAAAGATGAAGGCAGTGCTCCTATGAAGACCTTTCTAGAAAATTTCCCCAAGGAGAATTGGTCATATGCCTATTTTAAGGGTAATCGATATGGTGACATGTGCAGCACTGTTTCTGAATCATTTCAATCTTGGCTTTCGGAGCTTTATGCGTTGCCTATTTGTCAAATGGTTGATGGCATCAGGATTAAACTCATGGGACTGATGTCTCAAAGGAGTTGTGAAGCAAAGGAATGTTGTTCTATTCTCTGTCCTGTGATGGAGAAAACCTTGAATGAAATGTCGATTGTTAGTCGGCATTGGAATGCTATCCGTTCTAGTGCTTCTGTTTTTGAGGTTCATGCTGAAGGTTCTTTTATGGTTGATTTGGATAAGCATTTTTGCTCCTGTCATGAGTGGCAAATAAAAGGCTTTCCCTGTGCTCATGCAGTTGTTTCTGTTCAAAAAAATTCGGGTTGCATATATGACTACGTTGATGATTATTTCAAGTTGAACTATTTTAGAAGTTCATATGCAACTCTTATTTCTCCCATACCTGACATTAAGGATGCGGTGCATGGGTGTTCAGAAGATATTGTTATCCTACCTCCACTTATTAGGCAGCCAGGGACTAAAAAGATGAAATCCGCTGGTGAGTTTTCAAGGGCCGTTACATGCAGTCGATGTGGTGCAGTTGGACGGCATAATAAGAAGACATGTACTGCAAATATGTGATTCTGTTTCGCAGTGTTTATTTATTTATTAACTTTTTCAACTTTTTTAGGTTCATATGTGCAGTTGTTATTCGATTGTTAAGATATAACACAATCACTTAAGCAAAAGGTAGAGCACAAGCTACAGAGCCACAATCATAACAGTACTTCACATGATAGAACACAGAACCATGCATTTTTTCTCTCACAACTTGGCTTTTTTCCTTTTGCAAAACTAAATACACGGTAGGATATGTCAGGTTTCCTTTCGAAGAAAGTAGCTTTTAAATCAGCCCTATTGTTATCTCCTAGTGTGTTTTTTTTATTATAATTTTGGAATGTTTTATGTAATTTTGTTAGCTTTTTTGGCTAAATCTGACGGCATTTTTAAAATCAATTTTCTTTTAGGCTAAATTTGAGAATTCAATTGATTTTAGATTAAATCTCAGTAGATAGCAAATTAGTTTTCCCTCTTTTCTGACTACATAAGTTTAACTCTGTATGATTGTTTTTGTGTTCAAGGTTTTAGCTTTCAATCTGTAGGTGTCTGATTTGTTTTTTAAAGTTCATGCATGTTCTGGTGATATTAGTGGATCTTGGTACCCTTGTTTTGTTGCTGAGAAGATGGAGGAAAATATTGTTTTCAGTAATGAACATTTTTAGCTCATCCAAACGATATAGATTGTCAGGTTCAGTTGCAGGTGCAGCATTTTGTTTGTGTGTTTGTTTTTGTATTTAAATTGTTTCTTTTAATATAAGGAATAGTGAATATTATTTTTGAGGTTTGAAATTTTTGATGTTCTTTTTCCTACTGTAATAGATCAAGGTGCAAATTAATTGTGCAAGTCAGTCTAAATTGTTGTTTATAAATGGTTTAGTGTTGGTGCAAATTAAAGCATATCTTGCTTGATGCCAGCCATATTTTTATTTTTTATTTTTAAGAAACAAAATTGTTGGTGCAAGTGTAGATTGGTTTCTCTTTGTGATAGAAATGACCTAAATTCTCTTTTATATATTGATAAATAAAAAATCTCATTTATATGGAAATTATCTTTAGGGTTAACTGTCAATTTACCCCTTGAACTTGTACGGTACTTTCAATTTGCATCCTCAACTTTTTTTTTGGAAAATTAAGGATATGAATTATTTTTTATCGCCAACTCCCCCTTACCGTTGAAATCAATTTTTGACATTCAATAGTCCGTCAAATTATCACTGTTCAAAGGGTAGTTTTGTCTCTCCAATCTAATAACTCCACTCAGCCCCTTTCCCTCTATTTGGTGCCTCCATTTTCGCATCTTTTGAATTGGTGAAATTCCAGAATAGAAAAAAGGGGCAAGTTTCCCTCCTCAAAACCTATTCATAGGTGAAATTGAAGGGATGAGGAACAACTCACTTGACAAAGATCATGGATCACAGCGTTCAAGTTCACACTTTGAAGAGGGGCAGTGCATGGATGCTGCCTTCTCACCTGTGTTACTGTGGAAATACTACCAAAGTTCAGACTTATTGGATTGCTGCACATCCAGAGAAGAGGTTTCATGTGTGCGCAAGGGTAAGTTTGTAGGCTTTTCAATTTTTGCTTGCGAATTTGTTAGATGTGATGAAGCTGGGTTTTAGTTTCCCATTGTTTTAAGCAAATATTATGTTGTTTAATGCAGAAGAATGATTGTAGATTATGGGAATGGGATGATCCTGAAATGTGTGAGAGATCTAAGCAAAATATACCCGGGCTACTAAGGAAGATCAACAAATTGGAAGATGAAAAAAAGGCTCGATTGAACTCAGACAGTGGAGCCAATGGAGCGCTGCCATGTGTCCCCACTAGCAATGCCAAGGAGGCCTAGAAAGAAAGATAACAAGAAGAGGAACCATCCCTCACCCATAAAAGGAGACCACTCTTGTACTTTGAAGAAAGACTTTTATGAAACGGGGATAACGCTATTTTGCAGCGCTATCCCCGTTGCAACTAAGTTTTTTTCCCTACTTTGAGACTCTCTAAGATCATGGGAAAGTACTATATAAACAACAATTATCATAATGCGAACATCTCCAATTCCCGTGGATGAAGCCCGTTCAGGTGAACCACGTATATCTAGTGTCATGTATGCTTGCTCACTTCTCCTTCTTCCATCTATCTCACTTGTTGAAGGCTCTCACCTGTCGAACTTACGTCCCCTAAGTTGGTTCATTTTTGGACATCAACAAAGTTTTAGCATTAAAACAAAATGAGGATGAAGATTCAATAGAGGTACAAGAAGTTTACAAATTAGAAGAATTCAATGTAGAACTAGAAGAATAAACTTAAAAGAGAAGAAGAAGAGTAAGAAAGATTTTAAAGAGAGTATTTACATTAGACCTAGAGAACTGCAAGGGATGCATAGAAAGAGTGAAAAATTATGCAAAGTTTTCAAAACCCAAGGTTTAAAAAAGAGTATGTGTCATTTTCCCTCCACAACTATGACCCTAATTAAACTTAACTCCTGGACTAAAAAATAAGTCAATTTATCACTGGAACTTTTCAAAACAACCAATTTAACCCTTTTTGTTAAGTTTTTCGAATTTCATCCAATTTTCCGTTAATAATAAGGATACATTTGTAATTTTTATTAAAACAAAAACCAAATACATGAAAACAAAAGATAAAATAATAAAAGGCAAAAATAAAATAACTTTAGAAATAAATTTATAAATAAATAAACAAACTAGCCATTGCAAATTGATCTCTCTTTTCAGTACTCATCCTAAGCATTGGGGTTTGGCTTTAGGGCATCCTCAATCATAGTCTCTAAATGAGGCTCTAAAAATGGTGGATAGAGACCCATTTAGAGCTCCGCTAGAATATTTTGGGCTCTAAAAGTATCTTTCATACAATGGGGGCTCTACATTCGAGGCTTTATATGAATTTTTTTATGATGTAATTTGTTTTACGTGTTAATTTTTGTTGTTATTAACTTAGTTTGTTTTATTGTATGTTTATGTTATGTTAGCTTTTTTTAATGAACATATCTACCAAATAAAATCAAAATTTGGAGTAGTAATTCTAAAGGTAAATTATAATTATAAAAAAAAATAAAAAATCAACATTTCTACCCCATTTATAATTTTAAAAAATTAAAAGAAACATAGAAAAATTAAAGTAGTAATTCGAAAAGTAAATTATAACAATCGAAAGCAAAAAGAAAGAAAAAAAAAACAGAGAAGGAAATATCAAACCAAAAAATGAAAAATGAAAAAAGAAGAAAATAGAAAACAAAAAACAAAAAACAAATTTTGTTAAACATTAAACAAATCCTTTTATTTGGTTGCTGTTAGAAAAAAAAAACATTAAACAAAGTCTGATGTATGCTTCAGCTTTTCAAAATGTGGGACCCGCTTGGGCTCTAGGGGCTCTATCAAAGTCCACAGATTTAGAGACAACTCTAATGGGGCTTTATGATATAGGGCTCCAAATCTCTTTCTTTGAGGATGCCTTTTCGCATATGGGCTCTTCATTATAAAGCCCCAAGAGCCTGAGCCCTATTTAACGCCCCAATTGGGGATGGCCTTTTCAATTGGGAGTTATGATTATGACTTCCCCCTTCTTGGGTTGTACTTTGATGGACGACTTTGTGTACTACATGTTCATCGTCCATTAGCCCAATAAATTTTACTTAAAAACCTACATTATATTGTGGGTTTTTGAAGAGTAAGTAGTGGTTGGAGTTTTATTATAGTTAGTTTCTCTTTTAATCCCTCATGAATTGTTTTAGGCAACCATCTTATTAGGATTAGACTTAGAATTTTTTTTTAGGACCTTTTCTATTGAGAGAGGCGATAACATACTAAATTCACACACACTACACAGATACTAGGACTCGAACCTATGACCTTTACTGAAGGGAGCATTTGCTCCGAACCACTACACTAGGGGTCCTTAGCAGACTTAGAATATTTAAAATTGGTAAATAACCTTAGTAAAAACTAAAGAGTAATAAATTACATTATTCTAAAGCCAACGAGGTCTTGCTTAGTGGAAAAAAGGTCTTGACTTGCAGACCAGTAATCTCAAGTTTGAACATCCATGACACTTTAACATTGGTAGTGTGTGTGAGAAAACCTTCTCTCTTTTGACGCCAAAAAAAAAAAAATTATATACAATACATTATTTGGAAATTTGGTCCATGATGAGAAATTGGGTCTTTACTCACATAAAATTTTGACGTAGTGATAAAAGTTCCCCCAAGCCCAAAAAAGAACGAGTTTTTCACATTTAAGCCCATTAATAGAGCCCAAATTATACGAAAATTCTATAATATTCCAACTCTAAAGAAAAGCCCATTTGACTTTTTAAAGAGGCTAAATATATTATACAAGCCTTCAAAATTTTAAATATTACAATACAACCATCATATTTTTTGCTAAAATCATTCACACATTATTCAAATTGAAATATATATATATAGCTAGACCTTTTTTAGTTTTTTTTCTTCAATTTGTAGTATTTAGGGTTTTTATATAAAATCAAGGGTTAAATGATAAAATAGTCCCTGTGTTTTATCTTATTGGCCAATTTAGTCCATATATTTTTAATTTGTTCAATTTGGTCTATGTGTTTAACACTGTTAGCCAATGTGGCCCATTCTGTTAAAATTACCGTTAAATAAACAAGAAAATTCTTTTTTTCTTCTTCTTCCTTTGAAAACCTATAAATTTTGTTGAAATTAATTTAAAAACATATTAAAACTTCATTAGAACTAAAACATAGCATTAGAAAAAAGATAAAAAAAAAAGAAAAAAAGAATGGGCGAGGGGCTGCTCAGCGATGTGGTTGGGGGGAGTGGGGCGATGACCGCATGGTGAAGATTTTACTGGGAGATGGTTAGGAGTTAGGGATTGTTCTTTTGAGAGAGAGAGAGAGAGAAAGAGAAAAGGGGATGGGTGGGTGGCTGTGGCTTGGGGAGTTGGGGTTTTTGCGTGTGGGTGAGTTGTTGCTGGGGAGAAAGGGCGTTGCAGTTGAGATGAAATGGTGTTGTCCTTTGGTTTTTAATTGCTTTTAGCTTTTAAATCTTATTTTAATTTCATAATAATTTATTTTATAGATTGAATTCAAATATTTATATTTTTTATTAATATTTTAACAGAAGTTTAATAGATTGGATTACAATCATTACATTAGTTAATGATGCGAAATACAGGGACCAAATTAGCCAAATTGAAAATACATGAACTAAATTGGCCAACCGGCTAAAACACAGGACCTTTTTAGCATTTAAGCCTAAAATCAATGCAAGAAATGTGGTTTTTCCCAAAAAGAATCCGAACTACACCAAGTTCAGTTGCTCTTTCCTCTGTTATGCTCTTCAAGTTGGCGCGAGAGAGACCCTCCGTCTCCGTCGCTCGCTATCCCTCTTCATTTAAGGTTCGTCCCTCTCTCTCTCTCTCATGCCTTTTGCTCAATTATCTAACCCAAAAAACAAAAAAGTATTTTCTTGCAGGTTTTCCAATTGGGGTGATTAATTATTTTGCTTTTACTATTACTCGAAAATTCTCAGTTTTTTTTTTCTTTCTTCTTAAGCTCTTAACCAGTTTTAGTTCTTAATATATGCTATTGTTGCTAGCTAGTATAAGCAGGATAAGCATAATCCCATTAAGAGTTTAAGTGTTGTCAATTTTTACTTGACTTTATTAAACCTGGTTATATGCCATTATACATTTATTGTGTTTTGCAAATTTTCAGGTTTTCTGCAGTGTAAGTGTAGAACTTAGAAGATTTTATGGTGTAAGTGGCCAGTCCCGGCCCTGGGCCCATTATTCAAGGGGGCCCCAAATTTTATTATAGTAAGTGTTATATTATATTATAATAAATTGATTTAATATTTTCCCATAATTTTTAGGAATAGGATATTGAGATGAATCTGAAATTTTTGGAACAAAGGATCCATGACGAGAGTTTTAAAAGAATTCTTTGATATTGGCTTGACTTGCATTCTTGAAATTCTTTGACTCACTGGTATGGTATCCATAGTTGGACATTTGTTTTCATTATTTAGGAATATGGAAGACATTGCTCATGCATTTGATCCATCACCATCTTTCAGCATCTAATCATGTAGCATCTTCTTCATGCATGGTAGAAAATAGTGCTATTGATGAGAATGAACATTTGGATAACTCCAGATTGCATTATAGCAATGCATATTTGTCTGAGGGTTGGAAGGAATATATTAATCATGAAGGTCAGAAGTTTGTGGATGGGGGAACCGAATTTCTTAACAAGTTGCGTAAGTATGCAGTTGGTATGGGATTTCGCTTTGTCTATCAAAGCAATGATAAGTTACGTGTTATTGCTGATTGTTTTAAAAAGAAATCAGATGGATGTAAGTGGCGTGTATATGCTTCACTATATCAAGCTAATGGTTTTTTCTACATAAGGACTTTAAATAATGTTCACACGTGCATGGGTGTTGGTCGTGAGAAGAAAAGTAAAATGATTACGTCAAAGATGATATCTTCTATTGTAGTCAATAAAATCCGTGAAAAACCATCAATTAAACCAATAGTTATTGCCAAGGACTTTAAGCAGAACTATGGTCTTTAGATTTCTTACTATAATGCATGGTACGCGAAAGAATTGGCTAAGAGTGAAGTTCATGGTGATGAATCCTTATCTTATAGTCAATTAGTTTGGTATCGTGATGCTTTAGTGCCAACCAATCCTGGATCATCTTGTGTTGTGGAGTGTGATCCAAGGACTTCTTGCTTTCAGAGGCTTTTTGTTTGTTATGGTGCTTGCATTGAGGGCTTTCAATGGTGCAGACCTTTGCTGTTCATAGATGAAACTTTTCTGAGAAGCAAGCATAAAGGGCAGCTAATTGGTGCCACGGGGAAGAATGGAAACCAAGGTATAGTTATCAAACTGGTTAACAGTTGCATACTTATCCTGTATTATGATGGTTCATAAGTTACACATGTTTATGTATATATTATAGTATGTGTAGAGGTATATTCATATATACATATATATATCATTGAAGCACCAATTACTCATCTTTTGTCTTTTTTATATGACTGGTTTTTAGGATTTTTCCCCTTTGCTTTTGCTATTATGGACTCAGAAAACAAGGAAAACTGGAGCTGGTTCTTTGAAAATTTAGCTAAAGTTTTGACTCCACAAGGTAGGACCATTACATTTGTATCTGATCATAACAAAGATGTGATTGAAGCTGTTTCAAACATATTTCCAACATCCCATCATGCATTTTGTTTGAACCATTTGAAAGAGAAACTTGGATCTAAATATCCCCCTACAAATGGTAAATTGTTCCGGGATGGAATTGTTGAACTTTTTATGAAATGTGCTCATGCTCCAACGGAAGCTGCTTTTGAGTTTAATATGAGAAATTTAAAAGAAGAAGGTGGGGCTCCAGTTCAGACTTTTTTAGATAATCTTCCTAAAGAGAATTGGTCATCTGCTCATTTTAAGGGCAATCGATATGGTGAAATGTGTAAGAATGTTTCTGAATAATTTCATTCTTGGATTTTGGAGCTATGTGCGTTGCCTATCTGTCAAATGCTTGAGGGCATCAGGATTAAACTCATGGTCATGGTGTCTGAAAGAAGTTGTGAAGCGGGGCAGTGGTGTTCTGTTTTATGTCCTGAGATGGAGAAAACCTTGAGTGAAATGTTGATTGTAGGTCAGTGTTGGAATGCTAGCCGTTCCAGTGCTTCTGTCTTTGAGGTTCATGCTGAAGTTTTTGTTATGGTTGATTTGGTTAATCATTTTTGCTCCTGTCATGATGTTGTGAATTAGAATGACTAACTCACTGCCCTTTTAAGATCTTGTTGTTGATGGACTTTGGACAAAGAACTCAATGATGGATGAGTCTTACACACACACACAGAAATTAACCAAGCACAAATGACACAAGTGTTTATAGAGGTTCAGCAAATTGCCTACATCCTCTTTGGTGATCACCTTGAGAAATTTCACTAATGAAGATAGGTTACAACTTTGGTTTACAAAGGAAACCCCCTTAGAACACTACCCTCACAATCTGTTTCTCTCACACCCTTGCTCAACACCTTGATACACTTAGAGAACTCTCTTGCTCTCCCCTTGGTTTTTCTGAACAAAGCTCTCTCAAGAAAACTCTAACTTGTTTCCAGCTTTTGCCACTACATTTGTTCAACATTCTTTCTCCCTTGTGTTATCTTACTTCATCCCATTACCTACACAGGCCAATGGACAAGAGATAGGATATCTGATTGTCCTCCACGTTCTTTCCTTTTAGTCACCACTTAGACTAAGGGTCAGATCAGGTAGGTAATACAATCCCACTCAGCCACCTCCATTAAACCAGAAAATGGAGAGGAGATTATTCAAAACAAGATAACCAATTAGCCATGAGTGCTCTCCCAACTATCCAGCAAGTAGTCAACCTTCATTTACCTCAGAAGTGACCCATTAAGCACCTGCAAACTTGTGGAAAGCGATAGCCATTGAAAAGACAGTTGAAAATACGTAAGCAAAGCATCACAGCACGACTGGAGCGACCGGTCGTCAGGAATGGGCGACCGGTCGCCAGAATTTTTCCCTCCAGACTTTGAATCTGCTTCTAAGCGACCGGTCGCAAATGTCCAGCGACCGGTCGCTCGTGTGCCTGCGACCGGTCGCAAAGAACTAGCGACCGGTCGCTCTTCAGTTTTGCTTCCAGACTTCGAATCTGCTTCAAAACGACCGGTCGCAAATGTCCAGCGACCGGTCGCTTTTAGGCAGATTCAAAATCATCCTTTGAGCGCCAAAAACTTTGTATCCTTTTAGGTGAGCCATTTTTCCAACACATGATTGGCAAATAAAAGGCTTTCCCTGTGCTCATGCACTTGTTGCTGTTCAAAAAAATTCTGGTTGCATGTATGACTACATTGATGATTACTTCAAGTGGAGCTACTATAGAAGTTCATATGCGACTCTTATTTCTCCTATACCTGACATTAAGGATATGATGCATGAGGGTTCAGAAGATGTTATCCTACCTCCACTTATTATGAAGGGTAGACCAAGGACTAAAAAGATTAAATCTGTTGGTAAAGTTCCAAGGGCCATTACATGTAGTCGATGTGGTGCGGTTGCAAGGCATAATAAGAAGACATGTACTGCAAATTTTTTATTTTGTTTCACAGTATTTTCGTTGCAGTGTACATAAATTCTATGATGTGTTTTTGTACCTTTTTTCAACATTTTTGTTCATTTTTGCATGGTTCATATTGAAGAAATTGCCAAATGATTACTTCGTCACGAGTTGTAGTTCGATTGGTAAGATAAAACAGCATTGCTGAAGCAATAGGGCACAAAACAGAGGCACAAATAAAATATTATGTTAACTGATATCACAAAGAACCATGTATCAACAGATCATTGTACCCTGCACTTTTCGCTTACAGCTTGGTTTTTAGCTTTGCTAAACGGATGACATTTGTAAAACGTGTTCGGTTGCTGTCTGAAGAAAACATCTTGATAAGCCTGAGTTTACGTTGTAAAATTCGAAAACATCTCAATCAAATTTCCAGTGTATTTAGAGAATGAGGAATGCATAAGAGAAAATTACAGGGGCTGTTCAAGCTCTTCCTCCAACTTTCAACACTGTTTACAGCCATGCATCAGATATCAGCGTTCCAGACGAACATGTAGATCTACCATCCCAATCTCCCCTTTTACTTCCTTAGTCTCTGCATACAGGCAAGATGGGAAACTCCGTCTTTTTTCTCACTCTCTTTTCTATATTTCTCTGCATTGGTTGATTAAATCAGGTCTCTCTTTCTCTGTCCTAGTCTGTGCTTTTTAATATACTTTCGTGTGTTTTGGATTGTCAGCTTTGATGATCGAATTTTGTTGAAGTATATTTAGTTTTTTGGTTGAATTTTGGAGTTCAAACTTTTCTTTTTGTTAAAGTATATTTAGACATTCCCTTGGATATTTCAGTTGGTGAATAGTTGTTTGCTTCATTGAATTATCTCTTAGTTTTCACCAAACAAAATCTAAAGTAGTAGCACTGTTGATTTATCCCCTCTAGAATGAGAGAGATCTTCTTTAATTTAGACGGATCAGTTGACAAAACTTATCTCTACAAGCATACAAGGAAAAGCCCTTGTGGAAGAAGCTAGTAAGGAACAAATTATATCTAGTTCAAGAAAAATAAATTATCACTTTAAACCTTCATTAGTCGTGATTACTTGGAAAAGGCTAGGAAGACTACATTTTCATACCACATTTGAGTATCACATAATATGACAAAAAAAAGTGTACAGGCAATGTGTATAGCCTTGTCAATTAATGAAACAATCTCATTGCACATTGGTTATACATGTCACATCATGTGGTATTTAAATATGTTACAAAAATGTGGTCTCTCTAGCATTACTTTGAGCGGTAAATCTCGAAAAAAACAACCTTTTCCATATGGATCTCATTTAATAGGAGTGTCCAAAAACACATTGGTTATACATGTCACATCATGTGGTATTTAAATATGTTACAAAAATGTGGTCTCTAGCATTACTTTGAGCGGTAAATCTCGAAAAAAACAACCTTTTCCATATGGATCTCATTTAATAGGAGTGTCCAAAAAGAAAAGTTTTTGAATAAGATGTTAACAAAAAGAAAAGGCAGGGACCCTGAAGTCACTTTGATTCCTCTCTCTTTCCTGCCAATGGACGAATGCTTATAATTTGAATTTCCACGTCCCTATGTTTGTGCTTTCATGCATAAAGTCTCCCTTGTGAGCCCCCACCCCAATGTGGGAAGCAAAAGACTTTGGTCATCCAGGAACTGGGATTGGCTCTTTCACTTGCATAGACTTGTCGTCATGCATGAAATGAGCTTGCCCTTCAACCATCAAAACACTGGAAAGGCCAATGTCCATGTGTTGCTGAGTGTTTTTTCTTTTTAAAAAGAAAAATATAATCAATTTATATTATTAACCTAGGACCAATTACCTTAATAAAAGTTTTACCATTACCTCAATACCAGTTTTACAATTACCTTAATCCTACCAGTTTTACACCTAAACCCTAGATCCCTCCCTAGTGTTGGTCAACCAGATTTTGATGTTCCTTTACCCCTGAACACATGAACAAGTTTGTTACGAATCATCAGTTGCAAGATTCGGATTCTTTTTCTTCTTCGAAGTTTTATTATTTTTTGTTACAAGTTAACAAAAAGAAATTCAGTTTGGCTAATTGGAAAAAGCTACCCACAAATGTTGTGAAATAATTGAATGAATCATGAACACCAGCCTCAGCCCCATACTTACAAGTTTTGTGAAATAAATGAATTAATTGAAATAATTGACGAAATTGAATGAATTGTAACGAATTGCATTTTGCAATATTACAATTGCATGTTGCAATATTACAATTGCATTATACTTTGGAACCAATTGCATTTTGCAATGCAATTACATTAAACCCCTACATTTGACCTGTTACCTGGAAAAGCCATTTAACACATATTTTTTTATCATTTAAAAGTTGGTGCACCGATGGACCAGGTGCACCGTAGACGGTGCCAGTGTTTGGTGCCATTTTGACCAGTTCAATGAAAAGTGAAAAGAAGTTTTGATATGAACATATCGATGGAATTATCGATCTTGAAAGGTGTTAGGTTGTCAATAAGAGAAGTTTTGTAGATTTTAACAAAAAAATAAAGAAGAAAGGTGAAAAACAGGGTAGACTTAAGCCAGCACCTCTTGTAGAAGAAATTACATCCAGCCAATTCCCATATATATATTATCAATCAGTGCAGTCAGCATCTCACAATTTTCTTCAGAGAGAGACAAGTGAAGTCACTTCGGTTTCTTTATTGGCTGCTAAATGGACAAACGCCCAACGCGCATAATGTTAACGTGAATAGGTCAACAAGTCAAAGTCGATGGCTCTTATGTTTACGTTTTCATGCAGAGAGGTCTCACTACTTGTCAAGTTGTCAGTCCCCACCCCAACTGTGAGAGAAGCAATGAACCATTCAAGTTCATCCAGGAACTGAGATTTCACTTATTTGAGAGACACTTTATAGGGCTCACTCACTTTACATTGTATTTCACTAATTCAACCGTATATTTTGAAGATATTCATTTAAAAATTATCTCTAAAAAATCACTAATTCAACAGCCTATATATATACATATTGCCATGCATGAAATGAACTTAATTCAATCACAACTCATCTATATTTGTTATTATATATTTCTTTCTTGATTATAAGATGGAGATTTTCTCCTTGAAATCCAGCTTAGTATGCTCACTTCTGTACATGCTGCTGATATGTTGTTTGAGTTCTATGCAACCAAGTTTTTCCTTAGCCATGAACCCCACAGGCACAAGGGTGGGAGGGAATGAGACGGACCGAGTTTCACTGCTAGCCATCAAAGCTCAAATCAAGCACGACCCCAACTCGGTCCTGAGCTCTTGGAATGAATCCATTCACTTTTGCCAATGGCAAGGCATCACGTGTGGTCGCCGGCATCAAAGAGTCACAGGGCTATACCTACGTTCTCAACAATTGGCAGGGTCCATATCACCATATGTAGGAAATCTAAGCTTCCTCAAGGTGCTAATTTTAAGCAACAATAGCTTCACTCACTGATGAAATCCCTCCAGAAATCGGCCACCTGCGTAGGCTGCAGAGTTTAATACTGGCTAATAATTCATTGAGTGGAGAAATTCCAGCCAACATATCCAGTTGCTCCAACCTCATAGAGATTCATCTCGGTGGAAACAAGCTAGTAGGGAAAATTCCTAACACTCTTGGGTCCTTGTCAAAACTCCAAAAACTTGGTTTGTACAAGAACTTTCTGACGGGTACTATCCCTCCTTCATTTGGGAACCTTTCATTTCTTGAATCCTTTATTGCACTTGAGAATTTCTTAAATGGAAGTATCCCTGAGACTCTAGGCCAAATTATAAGCTTAAACTTGTTTTCGGTGGGTGAAAATATGTTGTCTGGTGCTGTCCCTGCTTCCATTTTCAATATTTCTGCTCTTACTGCTTTGGATTTGATGGGAAACCAAATCCAGGGCCTCAGACATGTTCAAAACTCTTTCCAATCTCAGAATAGTCGACCTTGGCCTCAACCAATTCATAACCAGATCCATTCCCGTGTCCATATCCAATGCCTCCAATTTGGAACAATTTATTGTTGCAGGAAACAGCCTAACTGGACAAGTTCCCTCTTTGCAGAAGCTCTATAGTCTCTGGGAATTCAGCATTGCCATTAATTATCTTGGAAGTGGGCAAGCGGGTGAATTGAACTTCCTCTCGGATTTGACTAACTCCACAGAATTGGGGCTGGTTGATATTAGTAACAACAAATTTGGAGGGATGTTGCCCGCATCTATAGGAAACTTGTCGACCACTCTTGTTGCATTTGATGTTGGTTTCAATCAGATACATGGAGGCATCCCAAATGGGATAGGCAATCTTGTTAACTTGAATATTCTGTTTATGAGGTCTAATCAATTTACAGGAAACATCCCTGCTGAAATTAGGAGGATTCGAAAAATAGGGAGGCTGGGTTTGGACAACAACAAACTATCAGGGTACATCCCATCCTCTATTGGGAATTTAACAGAGTTAACCACACTCGAATTACAAGGAAATGATCTCGAGGGCAGCATCCCTTCAAGTTTGGGGCAATGTCGAAAGCTACTTGTATTGAAACTTTCTCAAAACAAGCTTAGTGGTTCAATAACCCAACAAGTTTGGGGTCTCTCATCCTTGTCAGTGGTTTTGAATCTATCTCAAAACCACTTGACTGGTTCCCTTCCCATGGAAGTTGGAAATTTGAAAGGTCTAAGTTCATTAGACCTTTCTGATAACATGTTATCTGGGGAACTTCCCAGAAATCTTGGCAAGTGTGAAAGTTTAGAAGTCCTCCGGTTGCAAGGCAACTCCTTCCAAGGGACCATTCTTTTGCCTTTCGAAACATTGAGAGGAATTCAAGTTTTGGATCTTTCTCGAAACAATCTGTCGGGCAAGATTCCACAATACTTGGAGGGTTTTCGTTTGCTGAATTTGAATCTATCTTTTAATGATTTTGAGGGCATGCTGCCAGTTGGAGGTGCCTTCAAAAATACCAGTGCAACTTCGGTTGTTGGAAACAGCAAGCTCTGCGGCGGTGTTGCTGAATTCCACCTGCCCAAATGCAACTTTCCATCCAAAGAGTCCAAGAAAAGGAGGATGACCCTTGCCTTGAAATTAATAATCTATATAGTCCCTGCCCTTGTGTTAATCATCCTAGTCTTGTCTTTCCTATATCTACGTCCATTAAGGAAGAAGCTAAGAAAAGAGCATACCCCAAGCAATTTGGAGAAAATTTTGCAAGTGTCATATGCCGCTCTTGTAAAAGCTACCGATGGGTTCTCTTTGACTAATTTGATTGGTGTTGGCAGTTTTGGATCTGTGTACAAAGGAGTTCTTGATGACGGTGGAGCTCAGCTGGTTGCCATAAAAGTGTTTAACCTATTACGGCAGGGAGCTTCGAAGAGTTTCATAGCAGAGTGTGAGGCTTTGAGAAATATCAGGCATCGAAATCTCGTCAAGATTATTACTGCATGTTCAAGTGCTGATTTTCAAGGTAATGATTTCAAGGCTCTAGTTTATGAGTTAATGGAAAATGGGAACTTAGACGAGTGGTTGCATCCGCCTACTGGAGCAGAAGAGGTAAGAGACGAATCCAAGAGTTTGAATCTTCTTCAGAGGCTGAACATCGCCATTGATGTTGCCTGTGCACTAGATTATCTTCATAATCATTGCGAAACTCCAATCGTTCATTGTGATCTCAAGCCAAACAATGTTCTTTTAGACAATGAATTGACTGGACATGTTGCTGACTTTGGGCTAGCAAGATTTCTGTCAAAGTTATCAAGTAACATTTCTGCAAATCAAACAAGTTCCATTGGAATAAGAGGATCAGTTGGCTATGCCGCGCCAGGTAAATTATCTCCATTTTTCACACAGTTTTCTTTCTCCTTTTACCCTACCTGGAAAAATTACTGCTAATTAGATTGTCACATGTTGCAATACATATAACAAAAAGAATTGATTCTGCATTCACTTTTCCACTCACATTATTGGAGTTTTCCAATTCTCTGGGATTTTCTTTGCACACAAATCTTGTTAAACTTCCGCATCATGGAAAGCTCATGGTTGAAATGTTACTCTTACTTGCTTCTAAGAAAGCTCCACTATTCGCAATTACAGTAACGATATCTGATTTTTGAATTGTAGAGTATGGAATGGGAAGTGAGGTGTCAACGTATGGGGATGTGTACAGCTTTGGCATTCTCTTGTTAGAGATGTTTACTGGGAAGAAACCCACCGACAACATGTTCAGTGACGGCCTGAACCTTTATAATTTTGTGAAGATGAATCTTCCTGAGCGAGTTACAGAGATTGCAGATGCGGTATTATTTCTTCAAGGAGGCATTGAGGACACTCCCAATCAACGCAGCGCAACTGCACAAAAATTGGAGGAGTGTTTGAGTTTGATATTTAGAACTGGAATTGAGTGTTCTGCAGAATCCCCAAGAGACCGAAAGGGCATCAGTGATGCTGCATCTGCATTGCGCTCCATTAGGGACGTTCTTCTTTGATAAAAGCTTCAAACTTATGCCTACTCTTTTGTGTGAAGAAGATTACTGCTGCATGTTGTCTTAAGTCTCTCTCTAAAAACACTTGGATCTTATTAGGATTATAGTGGTAATCGAATTTGTTCTGTTATCTGTTCCTCCATTGTTGCTAAAACTGCACCGGTCTGATTGAATATAATGATGTTTCCTTTCCCGTTTTATGTATATGATGAACTCATCACATTAACAATCTCCATGGTATAGAACATCAACAGAGATGCAGCCAATGAGAAGCTTAGACTTTGAAGTATCGATCCAGCAAAGCATTGAGAAAACCATCATTTAGAGCTTGCCCTTCAACCATCAAAACACTGGAAAGGCCAATACTCTTTGTACCAGCAAGCAAAGAATGTTTAACCAAAAGTAGCTTCAGAATCATCTCAACTGACCAATGACCATCAAAGTTTAATTTAACAAAAGAAGTTTGCATATATGATATATCTACCATTAAAATTCCAATTCCCATATAAATTCAACCAATCAAAAAGGAGATCACTGAAACCAATCGGGACGAACAATTAGAAACACAATTCCAAACTGAAATTGCAAAAGGGCATTGTGAAGAAATAAATGGTCTTGACTTGAGTCGATAACAGTAAGATGGAAAAATTAGAAATAATAAAAAATAAAAAATTATATACTGAAGTTAAATTTCTATATTCTAATAATAAAAAAGTATAGAGTAATTATTTTCTACATGGATACGGAAAAAAATAATTTGAGGAGCACATCTGCTCTAGCTAACTTGGCTAAGTCCACGTATGCTGAGTGGGGTTTTTTTTATTTTTTTTATTTTAAATTTATAATGAAAAATATAATCAATTTATATTATTAACCTAAGACCAATTACCTTAATAAAAGTTTTACCATTACCTCAATACCAGTTTTACAATTACCTTAATCCTACCACTTTTACACGTAAACCCTATTTACTCTAGCATTAAATTGTTTTTTTCCCCCCAAAATACCGATATTACGCTTCATGAAATTAGGAGAAAAAAAAAGAGACAGAACTAAAACCCTCCCAAAAACAATCCGAAAGCTAAAACCCAGTTCGAAGTTTTGACATTTCCCATCGCCTCCTCCTCTATGGCGTTATTCAAGTCGGCGAGCCAGTGCTCCCAATTTCTCCTCGTTTAACCCTCCAATCGAGGTACTTAATTTATTTTGTCTATACTCTTTCTCGAAAATTTTGTATTTTTCATTCTTACTTAGCCGTTCACTGGTTTTCGTTCGTAAATTTTCTGATATGTTAGCCTTTAATTTTTCTTCATTATTGTTACATAATTTTCTTTAATATAGCCATTAACCAATATACATTATTGGGTTCTGCAGATTTTCATGGTTATGTAGTGTTTTCAGTGTTGAATTTTTAGGAGTTTATGATGTGAATGATTTTGGATTCATTTCTGGGTAGCTCTGTGGATTAATTTCACAAGAAATCTAACCTCCCTGCATTTCCTGTGAAAATTCTAAAAGTCATTGCCAGTTTCACCCCATAAACAGCTAGCTCCCAATAGCTCTATAGAGCTTTGGTCTTCTTCTCTGTTTAAATGCACAAAATCTCTTTATAAGTAGAGATACGCAAGTAGTACCCAACTTGACCTTGTCTCTTTAAAAGCTTATGCTACAGTGTCAGTATGATTAGAACACAGCCTATGTTGATTTAGGGAGAATAACAGCGGAATAAGAATGAAATTAAGAGAAAGCTCTTTCTTATTCAACAGTATCAAATTTTGCTTGTTTTAGGCTACAGAGTTATAAAGTCACAAATCACCTTTATACAGTAGGGAGATTACCATAAAAGAAATATTTGAAATAAGAACAAAATCACTAAAACCCAGAATTTAACCAACATGAAATATTTGAGTTTGACAAGATTCTAATAGTTAGTGCCAATCTTCTATGTGTGCTAAGAAAAAATCCTTATTTTACTATGCTGCGAATTCAGACCACGCATTCAAGCAAGAATCAACTTGATCAATAGTCCAGATTCATAGTTTGGCAATCGAACATTTCCCTATACATGCATATATGTATATAGTTTTTAAATTTATACTCTATGCAGACTTGTCCTATCTCACTTTGTACCACATATATTCAACATCTCCGTGTAATACTAGTGTATATAATCTCTTCCTTTGTGTATACAAAATCAACAGTGCAGTTTGTTCCTTATTTTAATCTTTAACACCATTGCTTTGAAGGACATGTGTTTACTTCTTTCCTTATTTGGACTGTACACGTGCAATGTGCAGGTGGGAGTCTGGTTTGATTCTTACAAGTCAACAATCCAATTAAGGATAACCAAAGAAACTGTAAATGATTTTCCTTTCGCTCTCCAACATCATGAACTAGTCATTTACATAAATCACCTGGATAGTTGTCCTATATCTGTTTCAATTATTTATAAATATTTTTCATTTATGTTTTTTATGTATGAGGCAAAACTAAGATTTCCTGCAATTTCTACAGGGAAATTATATTGAAGTAATACAAATTTTCAACTTTTAATTATTAAAAAATAGAATCCAGTCTTCCAGTGCAAGTGATTTCAGGGACACTGTCCTTTATTTCAACAATTTAATTAAGCTAGATCCCTCCCTAGTGTTGGTCAACCAGATTTTGTTGTTCCTTTACCCTTGAAACATGAACAAGTTTGTTACGAATCATCAGTTGCAAGATTCGGATTCTTTTTCTTCTTCAAAATGTCAATATTTGGTTGCATTAATTAAGATTTCAGCTCGATTTGTTCATCCAAGTTTTTCATTTTTGGTTTATTTTCTCCTCTCATTTGTATAATGCTTACTGAGTTTGAGGATTCAGGTTTGTCTTGGTTTAAAACTCTGCTCCAGAGCTTTTATTTATTTTGGAGCGCGTAGTTGATCAGTCTTCATACATTCACAAGCTATTTAGCTATTTTTCTTTGTTTGGTTTCAGTTTGTTCTTCGTCGTCATGTTGTATATTTTCTTTGGTTGATTCACATAAATCTGTATTTTTGGTTTATTAAGAATATCTTTTTTTTAGTTGAAGTAGTTTTTGTGGTATTGTTCATCGTGCAAATTTGTATTTCTGTGTTTCTGTTTTCTTTTAGTTTGTTTAAATTTTTTTGGCATCTGGGTCGTATTGATTGGAGATATTGTTGAGGTATTTGGTTCGGCATGCTTATTTTTATTTCTGGTTTTTTGTCATTTTTGTTGTTCAACAATCGTTTTACAGCTACTGTGTTATGTTGTGTTTAATAGAGTGTATAATGATGCTTCCTAGTGCTTTGGAAAAACTGGAACTGTCTTCGTTACACTTGTTACACTACTGTTTTGGAATAACTTTTATCGTGAGACAGTTTCACTCAATTACATCGTGTTTTGTTTTTGTATTTTTGTAATATGATTTGTTAACATAATTGTTTAACATTTGATTTTGTTGAGGAATTTAATATTTGCTATAGATCAGTTACAATTAGTTATAAGGGTAGTTGCTGACTCACTGTTCAGTTTTTATTTTTATTTTTCTTCATACTTACTGTTGATTTGTTTTGGTCATTTTTACATGTAGAGGAATGGAGAGTGCTAGAATAGCAAGGTGTAGTTATGGTGCAGTTACTGTCGTCATTGCATTGTTTGAACACAGTAAATATGCAGATATCTGTAATGAGATGTGTTTAAGGTTCAAGGAACTAAAAGTAGGGAGTTTTGAGCTGACATATTCTCTTCCTGAGCATCCTAATTGCTTGCTGCAATCGGATATGGATGTGCATTTGATGCTTATGTGTTTATCGATGTTGAAGAGTAGTTTTGTTGATATTTCGGTGAAGGATCTTTTGAGTTCAAATAACGAGGATGGCAATCATGCAACATCTAATCATGCGGCGCCTAATCACGCACCTTATAGTCATGCAGTTTCTAATCGTGCAGCTCCTGATCATGCTGCATCTAATGATGCAACATCTGATCATGCAGCGGTTGATCATGGAGCGTCTAATCATGCGACACCTGGAGCTCCTAATCATGCATTGTCTGCTGATGCAATGTCTAACCACACAACTTCTAATGATGCAACATCTAATCATGCAGCGTCTAGTGATGTAATATCTAATCATACAGCATCTAATGATGTAATATCTAATCATGCTGCCTCTAATGATGCAATATCCAATCGTGCAGCATGTGGTGATGCAATATCTAATCGTGCAGCATGTGGTGATGCAATATCTAATCATGCAGCATCTAATCATTTAGCGTCTTCATCATGCATGTTAGATAGTAGTGCTTTTGATGAGAATGAACATTTGGGGACCTCCAGATTTCATGTAAGCGAGACATATTTGTCTCAGGGTTGGAAGGAATATATTAATAATGTGGGCCAGAAGTTTGAAGGGGGTGTAGCTGAATTTCGTAACAAGTTGTGTAAGTATGCCTTTGCGACTGGATTTCGTTTTGCTTTTGTAAAGAATGAAAAAGAACGTGTTATTGCTGAATGTTTTAAGAAGATCTCAGATGGATGTAATTGGCGTATACATGCTTCGGTGTGTCGGTTGAATGGTTTTTTCTACATTAAGTCTTTAAATAAAGTTCACACTTGCACTGGTGCTATTTGTGAGGAGAAAAGTAAGATGATGAGCTCAAGGATTATATCTTCTGTTTTGGTGGATCGAATCCAGGAAGAACCATTTATTAAGCCTGTTGATATTGTCAAGGATTTTAAGCAGAACTATGGTCTTGATATCTCTTACCATACTGCATGGTATGCAAAAAATTTGGCGAAGAGCGAGGTTCATGGTGATGAATCCTCGTCTTATAGTCGATTAGTTTGGTATAGTGATGCTTTAATGTCATCCAATCGGGGGTCACATTGTGTCTTGGAGTGTGATCCCAAGACTTCTCGTTTTCGGAGATTGTTTATTTGTTATGGTGCATGCATTGAGGGCTTTCGGTGGTGCAGACCTTTGTTGTTCATAGATCTGACTGGTCTAGAAAGTAAGCATAAGGGGCAACTAATTGGTGCCACGGGAAAGAATGGAAACCAAGGTATAAATTTTATTTTTTATTTTTATTACTGTATATTTTGTGATTTTTGATAAGTGACATATATAAATGTATGTCTTTGTATACCTTTGAAATACCAGGTTACTCATCCATTCTATTTTATGTTATTGGTTTGCAGGATCTTTTCCCTTTGCTTTTGCTATCGTGGACTCGGAAAATGAGGAAAATTGGAGCTGGTTCTTTGAAAACTTAGCTAAAGTTTTGACTCCTCAAGGTAGGACGATTACATTTATATCTGATCATAACAAGGGTCTCACCGAAGCTGTTTCAAACATGTTTCCAACATCCCATCATGCATTTTGCCTGCAGCATTTGAAACAGAACCTTTTATCTAAATATCCTTCTACGTATGGCAAATTTTTCCGGGATCACATTGTTGATCTTTTTTTGAAATGCGCTTATGCTCCTACTAAAGCTGCTTTTGAGATTAATATGAGAAATTTAAAACATGAGGGTGGTGCTCCTGTTATGACTTTTTTAGAAGATCTTCCAAAGGAGAGTTGGTCATATGCCTATTTTAAGGGTAATCGATATGGTGAAATATGCAACAATGCTTCTGAATCATTTAATTCTTGGATTTTTGAGCTACGTGCTTTGCCAATCTGTCAAATGGTTGATGGCATCAGGAGTAAACTCATGAAAATGATGGCTGAATGGAGTCATAAAGCAGAGCAGTGGTGTTCTGTTCTATGTCCTGTGATTGAGAGAACCTTGAACGAAAGGTTGATGGTTGGTAGGAATTGGAATGTTAATCGTTGTAGTGCTTCTGTCTATGATGTGCATGCTGAAATCTGTGTCAAGGTTGATTTGGCTAATCGTTTGTGCTCCTGTCATGAGTGGCAAATAAAAGGCTTTCCTTGTGTTCATGCACTTGTTGCTATTCAAAAAGATTCTGGTTGCATTCATGAGTATACTGATGACCACTTCAAGTCAAGCTACTTTAGATGTTCATATGCGTTTAGTATTTCTCCCATACCTGACATTAAGAATGTGATGCAAGAGGGTTCAGAAGATGTTATCATGCCTCCTCTTACTAAGAAGAGACGCGGTAGACCAAGGACTAAAATGCCAAAATCTGTTCATGAAGTTTAAAAGGTTGGTAAATCTGGTCGGTGCGGTTGGAGCGCATAATAAGAAGTGTACAGGAAATATTTTATCGTCTTGCAGATTTTGGTTGTAGTGTACAACAATTATATAAGTTTTTTTTTTTTGGGTATCATTTTTATATTTTTGTTCATGTTTGCATGATTTTTTTATTGAGGAAACAGTCACAGGATTACTTTCTTTACAAGCTGTCAATGAAGTAACAAGGTAAGGTAACACAACACAACCACTGAAGCAAAAGGTAGCACGAAAACGCAACATGGGTTGGTTGAGTTGGTAAGGTGCGAGCTGGGCGTTGAGCCCCAACCGAGTTCAATGCTGCCAGCAGTCCCATGTGGGTAGTCTAGAAAATGTCACGTGTAATTCCACACCGGAGGGTAGGGGGATAATAGTCCCTTGTGTTAGTCCACTCGCTCTAGGTCGATTTGCCCTGGCTCTGAGTGTGGGAGTAGCTTCTCCCTCCCTACTGTGGCGAGGATAGGATGAAGGTTTTTAAGTTTTTAGTTTTTATTTTTATCTTTTGGATGAAAGTAATATTCAGATGGTGGAAATTAAAAATAATATAAAAAGATCATTTTGCTCTTGCATTTAACGGAAAGGATGACAAAATTGACAGTATAACCATTTGTCCTAATGAAACTGAAGTTGAAGGACCACAGGAAAGATTTTGGAAATTGAAGGACCAAAATGTGAAATGGATCAAAGTTTAGGGACCATTAGACATAAAACCCATAAAGTTAATTTCTTCTTATTTTGGCAAACATTGTGATTTCCATTTTTAAATCGAATCTTAATAAGAAGATTATATATCTTATTTGATATATAGGTTTAAAGTATTTTTATTTGTTAAGTTGTTAGCTTTCAGTGTTGTACATATCTTTGTAATTTGGCAACAATATGCGTTCATGCATAATTTGGTGGTATGAGCACATAAATGGACATTTTTACCTCATCTAAGCCCTAAAGTTTGAAGGAAATTAGATTTGAGGTATGATTGACCTATTGTTTTTTCTTTCTCACTTTATGTCGCGAATCATGACCACTTTTCTCTAATGCTCCAACTCAACTTGGCATACCTAAAAATTAGCTTGTAAGTTAAAGGTACCTAAAAGCTCTTAAACCATCATAAGATATGTTGTTTTCCCAATGTGAGATCTTGAGTCGTAACATTAGAATCTCACCTATGATCCCAACGGGAGGTGAGGCTGGTTTCCCACAACTGGTTAGCTATTTTCTTTAAATTAAGAAAAAAAAAAAAAGGACTTCTTCTTGATGTCGTTTCGATTTCGTCTCCAGTGAGCAAATTAGAAGCTAGAATTTGTTGTTATACATATCTGGTTGGTACTAGAAATGTCCTACCAGAACTGTCCTACCAGAAATAGCCCACCAAGAATGGCTTACCAGATATTGCCTAGCCAATATGGCCTACCTGAAATGTCTTACCCATTTCAATATTGCCTAGCCAATATGGCTTACCCGAAATGTCCTACCCGTTTCAATATTGCCTAAACCAAGATGGCCTAGCCGAAATGTCATACCCGAACAATATGTCATACCCGAGCAATATGTGCTAGCCAACTCCTACTGCCTCAGCCATGTGCAGACCACCACGCACACCTTTGATAACAGATCACCACGTGCGTCCTGACATTTCACCAGGCCACTACCCCCTGTCTCCTGACAGCCCATGCCTTCCCCACGTGCTCAGCCCATACTCCACTTAGGATGACCCATACCTTCCCCACGTGCCCAGCTCATTCTCCATTGAGGCTGACCTATGCCTGTGGGAAACGACACGAAAGGTTTATGTCGTTCTCATCCTTCTCCACCTCGAAATCCATCTCCACCGAAAACCATATTCATGGTCCAGCTACGTCTAGCCGACTGTGACGAGCAGAGCAGGTTGCTGCTCAGCTGCGAAATTTGCTCAAGACACCTAGGGCCCTCCACCTGTGAAAATCAAGGGTAGCAAGCGAGACAAGAAATGGAGAAACAGCTCGACTCAGTCCCAAAGCATCCCACTAAAATTCTTGGCTACTAGACCCGAGGACCGAACTGTGTATAAGCCGACCAGATATGATCCCAGCCGACCCGGTATCGTCTAGGTCGACCAGGTGCGGACCGAGCCGTCTAGATGTGCCGACCTGGTCCTTATGGACCTATCAGAAATCAGGGGTTGTCGGAGCTCCAGTTGCGTCGACTCCATCCTTGCTACCCCGCGCTATTACGCAATTCCTCCTCCCAGGCGTCGCTCTCTATTGAAGTGCATAAACAGATAAGGAATCTCTTGCTTTAATGATTAATTATTATTAAAGTGGTCACATATAGCATTTCCACGGCACCCATTTCATGAACCATATTATAATGTGGGTCATATCTCCAAGAGCATTTGATGTCTTTTTATAAATATTCCCATCCCCTATGTCGGACCAGGATACCCATGTGCCCTCCTACTCAATTTCCTGCTCCAATCATGCTTGCCCACTAAAGAGAGAATAAATCTCTTCCTGCTGCCATGATATTTACCTTAAAATATTGTGTACTATATTCCTCCCTCTGTTATGCAAACACTAGTATTAAGAGGCCTTGTGGTCGTTGCCATCAGGAGACCCTTTTTAAGGCCTACCACGTGAAGGCACAAAATATATATTTTTACATGTTCGAAAATGACCGACCCACTTACACAATATTATTATGTGAATAGCTCAGCACCACACCTCCAGTGTGCCCAAACCAGCTCGGTACCGCAACTCCAATGTGCTCGCAAATCGGCTCGGTATTATGTATATGGGAATAGAAAAGCACCACCTTACCACCTTGCATGCTTGACCACCTTGCAAGCATGACCGAGCTGACCACCTCGCGTGCTTGACCAAGTTGACCACCTCGGACGAAATGGCCAACCCGACTACTTGGATGGCCAACCTTCAAGTCAGACCCGAGCACATTACATGGTCAACCAACACCTCGCATGTCCGACTCTTTGCGTCACATGCGCCGAACCCCTTGCATGGTCATCCACCGCATTGATTGACCAACCCGACCACTTTGCATGTGTGGTGTGCTACTCCCAAGGATGAGCCAGATGACCATGGAGAAGATGACCAATCCCACCACCTTGCATACGTGGTGTGTTACACGCAAGGACGACCCAGCTAACCACCTTGCATGCATGACCGACCTGCTTATCTTGCATGCGTGGTGTGCTACTCCCAAGGATGAGCCAGATGACCATGGAGAAGATGACCAATCCCACCACCTTGCATACGTGGTGTGTTACACGCAAGGACGACCCAGCTAACCACCTTGCATGCATGACCGACCTGCTTATCTTGCATGCGTGGTGGTCTCCACGGCGTAGCCGACCCGAGAGCCTTGCATGCTCAAGTCTACATGGCGTAGCCGACCCAAGAGCCTTGCATGCTCAAGACTACACGACGTAGCTGACCCGAGCGCCTTGCATGCTCAAGTCTCCACGGCGTAGCCGGCTCACCTTGCATGCTTAAGTCTACACGTCGTAGCCGACTCGAGAGCCTTGCATGCTCAAGTCTCCACGGCGTAGCCGACCCGAGAGCCTCGCATGCTCAATCTCCACGACGTAGCCGACC